GAGGTTCCTTGGCCAGAGCCCTGCGAAAGGCACTTGCCTTGGGCTGCCTCATCCCTGAGGAAGAGGATAGTCAAGCCTGGTTTCGCTTTGTGCGCGTGGAGGCCCCGTGGCCGTGCTGGCCACACTTCGGAATGGCACACGCGTGCAATCCCTTCACGCAGGCATTGTTGCTGACAGGATTGCCGCAGGTCCCAAGCTGAAACCCATAACAGTATGGGTTTCCTTTCTTAGTGCAGGCAACGCATCCCCATTGGATCAATTGCGCTGGCATGCCAGGAGCCTTACCTTTGCCCTTCTGGCCCTGCTTGCCACCTCCCTTCTTCGGTCCCTTCGGGCGGAAAGGGGCAGGGCGCTCTTTTCCACCGGGCAAAGGCTGGAGGAGGCAAACAACGTCAAACATCTCCATCACCTTGGGGAGATGCTCGTCCACCGGTCTTTTGCCACCAGAAGGCTGGATGCCCTCTCTGGTCAGATCGCGCAGTTCGGAGAACAGCTTCTTGTCCGCTGCCACCAGCTGGGACCAGCCCGGTCGCTGGTACCCGGGAGGAGCTTCTTGCATCTTAGCACGGAGCAAGCGATCCGACCACTGTTGCATCAGAGAATATTCTACGATGTTGGCTTGATCTAAAGCAAGCGACCTGCGCTGAAGGGCCTGAAGTACATGAACCTCCGAAACAGTCGAGGCCTTCTCCTCAGCATCCTTGGTCTCGACTTTCAGGCGTCCAGACGCCTCGTCCACAGTGAACCTTGTGTCCTTGCGGCGGTCCGATCCTACCTCCTGCTCACGTGAAGTGCACACTTCCCAGCTCAGGTACCTTAACTCGTTGCTTTCGTAACAAGCTACGGCCTTGTCCACAAGGGCCTCACTAGGCTCACTCTGATTCTTAATCAGGACGCCGACAAGTTTTGTCCTCTGCTTCTCGTACCTTTCTGCCCTTTCAGGTTGAGTGAGGCGGCGGCTTGCCGGTTCCTCGCTTTTCTCGATCCTCTGCTTCAGCTCTGAGGTCACTACCGCGTATGCTTCGTGATACAGGGCTCTGAAGCTGGCTTGCACTCCTAACTCTGCATCCCTAGACAACATGGTCTTTA